AGGACAGGCTCCAAAGCTACAGAGAAACCCTGCCTTGAAAAAGCAAAACAACAACAAGAAGAGCTAGTGGGACAAGCCTAACCTAAGACTGAGCATTCAGAACTAACATTGAGTCTCTATGTCTTTATTTGGGAGCTGGTTGGTGGCCCAAAGGAAAGTCTGCTACACATGCAGTTAAATAAAAATAAGTCCCGCAAAAAGGTTAATTTAAAAAACAGAGAGAGTTTAGAGTTTGGGAGGTTCAAGAGTGTGGTACTGATCTATTCTGGCCCTGATGAGGCTCTAATACAACATGGCAGACAGCACCATGATGGGGATTCAAGGGGAGAGATCACTTGGAAAAGCTGATTTCAAGCTTACTCTCTGTTTTTGCTATTGTTGCATTTTTTAAATGACAGTCTCACTCTATTCCAGGCTGATCTGGAACTCACTCTGTAGCCTAGGCTGGCCTTGAACTCAGAGTAATCCTCTGACCTCTGTCTCCTCAGTGTTGGAACACAGGGCCACTGTGCCTGGCATTCTTGCCCTTTAAAAATGCTTTTTAGTAGGATAAGTAATACATAATAGTGAGTTTCATTATAACTTGTTTGTAGATGTACATAGTGTATTTCGACTGTATTTTCTCCCTTACCCTCTCTTCCCCCATCACTATTGCTAATTGCTTTCGTTTTTTCCAACTAAGCCCTCTTTGACTTTCACGTTGTATGTGTATGTGGGAGGTGAGACAGCGAGCTTATGTAATTCGACTGTATTTTCTCCCTTACCCTCTCTTCCCCCATCACTATTGCTAATTGCTTTCGTTTTTTCCAACTAAGCCCTCTTTGACTTTCACGTTGTATGTGTATGTGGGAGGTGAGACAGAGAGCCTATGTAAGCTCAAAATAAACCAATGAATCCCATTAGGGCTGCTAAAAGAAGAAAGGGAATCTTAACCAGTGGCCACACCATCAACCATTAACTGCACAGAACCCCCAGAGAGGGGTGGGGCCCCAGCTCACTCTGTACACCAGAACTAACCAACCACTGCAGCCCAGCATTAATCCCTCTCAGGGCAGTGTCTCCAGTGACCCCATTGCTCTAGGTCTTTCCTTTGAAAGGCTTCAGTAGGAGCTGAAAGTGCAGCTAAGTAGAAGACTAATACAAATACCATGCAGGAGGCCCCGGGCTCAATCTCCTGCCCCCAGAAGGTTCCATTGCCACACTCAGGACTAAGCTTGCAACACACACATTCCTGGAGCACAATCCACATATACACCAGAGCAATCCTCAGAACAGTTTCAGACACCTTATGGTAACCTCCCACTCCACACCCTGGAGTGTTACCTAAGAATGGTGGTGGCGTAAGCCACCTGTGTGCCATGAGCCTATAGGCCAGAGCTGCTCAGGAGACTAAGGACAGGAGGATCATCATTTAGGACTAGGAGATTGAGCCAACCTAGACTAACTGAGACCGAGTCTCAAAACACCCAAGTAAAGGGTTGGGGTCACAGCTCTGTGGGTAAAGTGCCCGCCGTACAAGCATGAGAACCTGAAGAGAACACCAGTCTTCATGTAATAAAGTGGGTGTGGCAGCCTGCTATATAACCCCAGTGCAGGGTGGAATTGGGGTACAGAGACAGGAGGACATTGGACGTTGACACCCATGCACCCCTACACACAATCTGCAGGGTGCAGCAGCTTCTACCTGGAACCTGGGGGAGGGAGAGAAGTGATAACTGAATCCCTCTGCCATAGCTTCACTAACTCAACACACAATTCCCAGAGCTGGGCAGGGGCCGGGTGGCACCCCACTCCCACCTAGTTAGTTCATAGACACCATCTCTGGGAGTCCCCGCCCACTCACTCTCGGTGTTATTAAACTTCCACAAGACACTTTCCTGGTAGAAGTGGAGGGAGAGAGGGAAGAACCCTAGAGCTTATGGCCAGTTAGCCTAGCTGATGCTGTGAGCTCCAGGCTCAGTGAGATACTCTGCCTCAAAAAATAAGGTGAAGCCAGGCGGTGGTGGCACATGCACACCTTTAATCTCAGCACTTGGGAGGCAGAGGCAGGTGGACTTCTGTGAGTTCGCGGCCAGCCTGGCCTATGAGAGCTAGTTCCAGGACAGACCCCAAAGCTACAGAGAAACCGTGTCTCCGGGGGGAGAGGAGGAGGAGGTGAAAGGGACTGGAGAGATGGCTCAGAGGTTAAGAGTACTCTTGCTGCTCTTTCCAAGATCCAGAGTTCAATTCCCAGCAACCACACAGTTGCTTACAACCATATATGAGATCTGGTGCCCTCTTCTGGAGAGTGCAGGCACACATGAAGGCAGAACACTGTACACATAACAAATTAAAAAAAAAATAAGGTGGAAGATCAGGCATGCTGGTACACACCTTTGATCCTAGCACTCTGAGGCAGAAGCAAGTGGATTTCTTTGAGTTTGAGGCCAGCCTGGTCTACAAAGCTAGTTCCAGAACAAGAGAAACCCTGTCTTTCAAAATCTAAGTAAGTAAGGGGCTGGAGAGATGATTCAGAGGTTACAAGCACTGGCTGCTCTTCCAGAAGTCCTGAGTTCAATTCCCAGCAACCACATGGTGACTCCCAACTATCTATAGTAGAATCTGATGCCCTCTTCTGGCATAGCACCATATATGCAGATAGAGCACTCATATACATAAAATAAAGAAATCTTTTTTTAAAAAAAACAACTAAATAAATAAGGTGGAGAGTGATCAAGGAAGATACTGGATGTCAACCTTTGGCCAGAGATCACCCTGTCCACTCCCTACCCCCACATATAAAACAAAACAAAAAAACTGTACATGATGGTGTATACCTATAATCCAGCTGGCAGGTTAAATTGTGAAGATTCTTTTGCTTTTCGAGACAGGGTTTCTCTGTACAGCCTTGGCTGTCCCTGAACTCATTCTGTAGATCATGCTGGCCTGGAACTCAGAGAGCCTCCTGCTTCTGCCCTCAGAATGCTGGGATTAAAGGCATGTGCCACCACTACCCTCGGAGGATTCTTATTAGCCTGGGCTACATACACGGTAAGAGCATGTAGCTTGAGCTACAGAGTAAGACCCTGTCTCAAAAGGTCCCAAATCAAAACAACAAAGACCTAAACAAAAGAAGTGCTATTTAATAAACCACCTTGACTTTCCTAGAACAGCGCCTGGAGCACAGCAAGAGCTCAACGGCCTCACTTCACTGAACACTGTCTCAGTCTGACCACATCTCACCCTCGGAGGCCTGGCAATGAGGCATTGTGAGTCATAGCTGGCAGACAAGAGGGGTGAAGTGGCCCAGAAATGAGGCCAGGCCTGGGACAGCAGCGTGGGCATCTCCAACACATCCACAGGTGAGGAATAACTCACAAGGGATGTCAGGGAACAGTCTTCTGGGGGAGTTGTGACCTCAAGAATGGATGTGGAGGACTTCCAGAGGCCGTCTCCATGAACTAGATAAGGGCAGGGATCAGCCTGCCTCTGCCGAAATGCAGAAGTACGTGTTGATTTAATGAAGGCATGGCAGAGGGAACCCTGGCTGTGTTTCTCTTTATTCCCACCACAGGCAGGAAAAGTATTTAAAACAACACACCAGACACCGTCTGGGAAGTGGCGGTGCATGCTTTTAATCCCAGGACTCAGGAGTCAGAGACAGGTAGATCTCTGCGAATTCGAAGCCAGCCTGCTCTACAAGAGCTAGTTCCAGGACAGGCTCCAAAACTACAGAGAAACTCTGTCTCAAAACAAACAAAACACACACACATTGTAGAATCAGCACTTTGTAGGTACTGGGAAAGGAGATAAGCAGGTAGAATGGGACCTGGTAGAATGGAAATCTGGGCTTTAGAATCCTTGATGTAGTAGCCTGCTAGAACAAGTCAACTCCACTCTTCAGAATCCCAGCCACCTTAAAGCTAGGTATAGGGCTGGAGAGATGGCTCAGAGGTTAAGAGCATTGCCTGCTCTTCCAAAGGTCCTGAGTTCAATTCCCGGCAACCACATGGTGGCTCACAACTATCTGTAATGAGGTCTGGTGCCCTCTTCTGGCCTGCAGACATACACACAGACAGAATATTGTATACATAATAAATAAATAAATAAATATTTTTTTAAAAAAAGCTAGGCATAGGTCTAGGTCAAGACACGTGTTCCAGGATGTCATTTACCACACTGGACTTTAATACACGTGTCTTTCCTGCTGGACCAGGAGCCTCTTGAGAGTAGACAAAAGTTGTGCTGATGGTACCCTCTGTGCAGACCAGACCTGGCAAGGAGCAGGAGCCAGTGTAAGAATATCACAAAAGCGAAAGATGGGGGTTATGCCAGACACCTTACCAGACTGTGGAATCCATACTAATTCTAATTCTGGTTTTGCAACCTTCAGCAGCTTCCCTTAAAGAGTGTTGTGGGAGAATTGTCTGTAATCTGTCAATCATATTTTAAATAAATGTTGATTGGCCCGTTAGGTCAGGCTTCTTACTGGCTAACTCTCACATCTTGATTAACCCATTTTTTTGATTTATGTTAGCCATGTGGCTCAGTACCTTTTTCAGTGGGGCAGCTCACATCCTGCTGCTTTGGTGATCTGGGCAGGAGTGGGAGGAATCAACTTCCTCCTCCCCAGAATTTTCCTGCTCTCCTTGCATTATTTTCACTTCCTGTCTGGTTTTTCCACCTACACCTCCTGCCTGGCCAATCAGCGTTTATTTAAAACATGATTGACAGATTACAGACAATTTTCCCACAACACTCTCAACAGTCCAGCTGGCCTTTACTGCACCTCAAGATGCCCTGGCTCACCTTTCTAGCCTACTTTACCGCTATTCTCAGAACGGGTCCTATCCCCAGGCTCTTCCACACATCTGCAACATGACAGCCTTGTCGCACTGCCTCACAGCTCTCTATCACATTCCCATCCACCAAAGGCCTGTCCTACTTTCTTGGCTACTACATTATCTCTTACACACCCACAAATGAAGGATCCTGGGGGAGTTGGTTTTTTGTGAACACTGATGGTACGACTATGCAGGAATGAGCTCCCCCAGTGGTTTGGAACTGTAGAGCCCTGGACACCCTGGGTGGTGGGGACAACCTGTCCTGAGCAGTCCGCTCACCGGCCATTTGGCCATTTGCTTCTCAGCAGTGCCACTGGCTCGAATTCATCATTCCAGGACAGCACGGTTTCGGACACCAGCGCACCCCGTGCAGCCCACCCACGCTTCGCCCTGGAGGCCTTCGAGTGCCTGGCCGCAAGCCACGCGGCCCACCTGTGTGAGCAGTTGCGGCAATTCTGGGCCGACCACTTCTCGCGCCGCTTCTCGCCGCGGAGGCCGCCGCTGCGCCGCCTGTCATCCATATCCACCTTCTACCTGCTGGACCACCGCACGCGCCAGGCCGAGCTGGGGCTGAACTATGGAGCGCCGCGCACACGACTGAGCAACGAGACCTTCGTGTTCCTCGACGGCCGCTGGACCACCGAGGGGCAGCAAGCACGCGCGCGGTCGCCGCTGCCCTCGCCCGCCGGCCCGGCCTGGAAGCCCCCGGTGGAGCCGATCAAGAGCCAGGTGCTGCTGGAGGAGAACAACTACCTGAAGTTACAGCAAGAACTGCTCATGGACATGCTGACCGAGACCACCGCTCGCCTGCACCTGCTGGAGAAGAAGGTGGACGCGGACTTAGACCCCGCGACCGCAGCGCGCGCCTGGCAGAGGAAGATGCGCAAGCATGAGGGCGCGAGCTTGCTTGTGATCCAGCCGCGCGCTCTAGGGTCACGGTGATGCAATAAAGCCATACATAAAGCCGAGCTGCGCGTGCGCACCCCAGCTTGCCCTGCCCCAGGGGTCCCGGTGGCCCGTTGTCCGTGGGCAGGCACCGTGCTCTTTGGGTGGCGCTGTGTGCTTCCCAGTTATTTCAATGCAGGAGGCAGAAAGCATGTGGCGCTTGGACTGGGGAAAGGTGGACAGACTCGGGGTTTATGCTTGGCTTTTTAATTTTTTTTATTTTTTATTTTTATTTATTTATTTCTTGACCCAGGACCTTAGAGCAGTTTCTTGAAACCTTGGGTCCTGCTTTCCCGCATTCGCCGGAGTGGTTCAGTTTGTTTTGTTTTCTATTCATGCCTCCGTTAGGGTCTGATTTTCTCCTACGTGGAATAAAGGCATTTATTTGACCCAGCATTTAAAAAAAAAAATGCATTGAGAACGGGGCAGTGGTGGCATATGCCTTTAATTCCAGTACTCAGGAGACAGAGACAGGTTGAACTGAGTTGGAGGCGAGTCCCAGGACAGCAGAGATACAAAGAGAAAACCTATTTCGGAAAACAAAAACGGGGGGCTAGAGAGATGGCTCAGTGGTTAAGAGCATTGCCTGCCCTTCCAAAGGTCCTGAGTTCAATTCCCAGCAACCACATGGTGGCTCACAACCATCTGAACTGATATCTGATGCCCTCTTCCAGACAGACACACAGACAAAATATTGTATACATAATAAATGAATAAATATTAAAAAAAAAACAAAGCGAACCAAACAAAGAAAAGTGCACTGGGGCCTCACAACAGCACACATAATGTGTGTGTGTGTGTGTGTGTGTGTGTGTGTGTGGTGTGGTATATGTACGTGTATAGTATGTGCGTGTGCATATATATGTGGCAGCAAAGGGGCTGAAACACAGCTGAATGTTAGAGCACTTGTCTAATATGCGAGACTTCCTGTCTTCAAACTCCAGTACAATAATTCATTTTTGAGGGACGGATTTCACTATATGTGCTGGTAAGGTGTGCCACTACACCCAGCAGCAAACAACTGCTTAAACATGTTTCTGATACACTGGAGGCTGTGGGAAAGCTGATAAGACACTTATGAGAGGCTGAGGCTCAGCAAGAAGGACTCTTTGGGAAGCTCTTCTCTTCTGTTATGGTCTAGAGACCATAACACACATCCCTTATAGAGAATCCCATAATGGGTGGTGAGCTCAGAAAGCAGAGGTCATGAGATCAGAACCTCTACCTAGAGACAAGTACTCTGAAATTCAGTCTACCTGAAGGAGACCTCACACACCTGGGGTTTCCTCCGGGACCCCAGATTAGGAACAAACCACATGCAAACACCTGTTTTTACAGAGACCCCTTATTAAACTGCAGAGAAAAAGTGGTGGCGCACGCCTTTAATCCCAGCCCTCAGGAGGCAGAGGATCTCTGTGAATTCGAGGCCAGCCTGGTCTACAGAGTGGGTTGCAGAACAGCCAAGGCTACACAGAGAAACCCTGCCTCAAAAAACCAAAATAAATAATAAATAATAGTGCCTTCAAAAAATTTTTTTAAATTAAAAAAAAGTTTAAAAAGAGGCTTCTTTTTGACTCAGGCAGAAAAACAGCAGCAAATGACGTTGCAGGTGTAATTTTTTTTTTTGGATTTCCCAGTAGCTATGGAGCTAGTTCTGGAACTCACTCTTTAGACCAGGCTGGTCTTGAGGTCACAGAGATCTGCCTGTCTCTGCCTCCAGAGGCCTGGGATTAAAGGTGAAAAGGGGGAGGTCTCTGTTAGAATGGGCTAGGATGTGCTGGTAAAGGAAATAGAGGAGGGGGGAAAGGGGCAAGGCAAAGAGGAAGTGGGTATTTGTTCCAGAGAGACAAAGGACTGCCCCTGGATAGAGAGGAGACAGACATGGCACATAAGAAATGGGGTTGATAAAGGTAAAATGGGAAACCCTGTGTTAGGATGAGGTGTTTAATTTTAATTGGGAATGTTAATCAGGTGAGCCAAAGGGAGCTTTTGATTGCTGGACTTCAATACTTTGATAGCTGGATGTTGGTAGTCAGCCTCAGGAGTAGGAAGTGATCAAATAAGGGAATAGACCTTGGGGGCTAGCTTCAAGAATCCAATCTAAAGATTTTTAGCAAGGAAGAGGAAATTGGGAGTAGAGCAAGGCCTGCCAGAGCCACACGGGTCTCTTCACTACCTACCAGCTCAGGAAGCAGATAGCAGCTGAAATTAGAGCAAGGGCCAGGGAAAACGGTCAGGGGTAAAGAGTGCGGTACAGAATGGAATGCAGCATACAACCATGTATTCCTGGTTTGCACCAGTAATCCTAGCTAGCAAGCACTTGGGAGTCTGAGGCAGGCAGATTATTTGAAGTGCAAGACCAGACATAGTTGCAAGCCAGCCTGGGCTACAGAGTAAGTCCTTACCTCAAATACACATTGGAGCTCGGAATGGATTAGGATACCTTATCTGAAATTTCTGGAACCAGAAGTATATCAGATTTTATTGTTTTGTATTTTATGAAATTTTTGTTTTGTGTTTTGTCTGCATGTAGGTATGTGTACCATATAATTGTCTCCTGCCCTCTGAGGTCAGAAGAGTGCATCAGACCTCCTGGAACTGGAGTTAGGGATGTCATGAGTCACCTAGGAACTGAACCCAGGCTCTCTACAAAAGCAACAAGTACTCTCAACCACTGAGTCATTCTTCCAGCCCTGTATCAGATTCTTTTTTAATTCATAGACATTTATATATACACAATGAGGAATCTTACAGGACCTTAGTCTAAATAAGAAGTTTTATACACATTTTATACATGTAGCCTGAGGTAATTTATTTTATTTAATGTATATGGTATTTGTCTGCATATATGTCTGTCCATCATGTGCACACAGTAACCATGGAGTCTAGAAAAGGGTACCAAATCCCCTGGAACTAAAATTACTTGGGTTGTGAGCCTCCTTATGGATTCCAGGGATCAAACCAAGTTCCACTGAGTCTTTGCTTCAGCCCTTATTTCAGTTTTTTTCCTTAAAATGGTCTCACTCAGTAGTTCACTTATTCTTTGTTAGAAACACAGCAAACTCCTGCCTCAGTCTCCCAAGAGCTGAGATCATGGTATGCACCACCACAACCCCTGACTTATGCAGCATGGGGATCGGACCCCAGCTTCATACATGCTAGGTAAGCACTCTATCAAGCTTGCTACCTCTTTAGCCCCAGAGGGGAAAAGGTTTGTTCCAGTTCATGTCTTCAGAGGTTTTAGTCATAGTTCCTGGGCCCTGTGGTTGCACAGTGTGTCATGTTGAGAGCACATGGAGGAGAAGCTCTTTTCAGAAGGCAGGAAAGCAGAGAGGGTGAGTCCAACATCCTTTCAGGGACACATGGCTAGTGACTAACCACCTTCTTCTAGACTCCACCTCCAAAAAACTGCTTCTCCTCCCGACAGTGTTGCAGGCTTACAGTCTTTGGTGATAATGTGTAACAGTTTCCTCTGAGTTTGAAACATTCCATCCTGTAGGGAAGCGGCCTTAAGTAGAAGGTAAACAATTCAAAATAGCTTCAGGAAGTCCCTGAAACTGACCAGATTCATGAGTCCCTCCCTGCCAGCGTAAGCAATAAAAGTTGAGAGTCACTCTGGAATGAACAAAAACAGCTGCACAGAAGAGTCTCAGAAAGCTGAGTTATTAAGACCCTGAAACCAGACCAAGCTGCCTGGTAGAAGTTTAGACCATCTGAGGAACCAGGAAAGGCCGTTCTCTAATCTGCTGAGCTGCTTGCGGGCTGTGCAATGTGCTCCAGGTTCCCAGTTTTGTGAGCCCACTCATGCTGGAGTAGGCTTTGGTAATGCAGCTGTCTTTTTGTTTGTTTTTTTGAGTCAGGGTTTCTCTGCGTAATAGTCCTGACTGTCCTACAACTCGCCCCATAGACCAGGTTGGCCTCCAACTCACAGAGATCTACCTGCCTCTGCCACCCGAGTGCTAGGATTAAAGGTGTGCACCATCATTGCCCCCGGCAATGCAGCTATTTTTGAGTCATTTATACTCCTGTAAGTAGCCCTCCCCCCATTCCTGTAAGTAACCACAATAAAACTCATTGGTTCTACCAAATTGGACTTTGGTGATATCCACACATTGGTGTGTCATGGGTTTCCTATGTGAGATGAGTAGATGTGTGTGCTGCATCTCTCCAGGAAGGGTTTTGTTACACAACAGGCGTGTAGGTGTGTGAGGGACATTTAAGATCCAAAACATGAACGTACAGAGTTCTATACTGGTGATAAAAGTGACATGCTGTCACTCAAAACCTTTCACGTTTTGGACTGTTTTTCATTTCAGATTTTTCAGGTTAGACTGTGTTAGCAAAACACAAGAAATAGGAGCAAATTGATTTTTTTTTTTTTGATTTTTGAGACAGGGTTTCTCTGTAGTTTTTGGTGCCTGTCCTGGAACTAGCTCTTGTAGACCAGGCTGGCCTCGAACTCACAGAGATCCACTTGCCTCTGCCTCCCAAGTGCTGGGATTAAAGGCGTGCGCCACCACCACCCGGCTGAGCAAATTGATTTTTAAGCTTAGTTGTTTTGGAGGCGGTGGCCCATACCTTTAATCCCAACCTCAGGGAGGCATTGGCAGGTAGATTTCTGAGTTCAAGGTCAACCTGGTCTACAGAGTGAGGAGCTATTCTGTCTCAACAAATAAAAATCAATAAATACAATAAAAATAAAATTAGTTAAGGGGTTGGAGAGATGGCTCAGAAGTTAAGAGCACTTACTGCTCTTGTGAAGGACCTGGGTTCAATTCTCAGCATCCACATGATGGCTCATAACTGTAACAAGGGTTCCCAGGGATCCGATGCCCTCTTCTGACCCACACAGGCACTGAGCTCATGTGACACAGTCACTCAGGCGAAAAACACCCATACACATAAAATAATAAAAATAAAGACATGGTCTCTCCTTGGCTTGAAACTTGCCCAGTAGGTTAGGCTGATGAGCCACGGGGATTTGGCTGTTTCTGCCT